GTACCCGATTGTAACCATCATTCTGAGAGTCATTATTGCAGTTTTTATAGATTTCCAAAGGATGGAAGTGAAAAGCAACAATTTTTTTTAAAATTCATTAAATATTGTAAGATCGACTTGCTACCGATGCTTTACCGCTGTCTGCAGCGCACACACTCGTGTTTTACGTACGCACAACATGTTCACGCAGTAAACCTTATGGAGCCAGTGGCTTGTGTAGAACCAGCCCGTGCGTTGTCTTGCCAACGTGACGTCACACTTCGGTACTCTATAGACATTTTCCATTGGCGACCATGCTAAGCGTATTATGAAATTCCCATGACTGAACAGGAGTAATGTTGAGACACCTCAACAAAGACCTTCCATTGCAGGACACAATGTGCATTTTGTTATCTCAAATGTTTATCCAGAATATTTTTTTTTCAAAAACGGTCAAGTTACAAGATGTTTTTATACTGAAAAGTGCGCCGTATGTGCATTTTTCAGCCGCCACACGAATGCGCAATTAAAGAAATGGCAAAAACTTCTAAATTCTAGATCAAGTTCACTTTAAAAACCTTCTCGTCAACCAGTTTATTAAAAACTATTTAAAGACTTGTGGCCAAACTTTCCCGCCTGGGAATGCTATACCATGCAGGATGTTTTGGCACATATACGCACTCACGCACGCACTCACGCACGCACGCACGCACGCACGCACGCACGCACGCACGCACGCACGCGTGAACGCTCGCACTTCTGTGTTATTGTTCAAGCTAGGCTGGGAAAGGTCGGCTGGGATGAACAGTGTTTACTAGCAACTACACTGCACAGCCGTTTTCCAAACAATTGCAGCCATCTACGGGGCAGCGGGAACGGAAGTATTGCCCAACCAGTAATAATGAGTGTAAAACCTGAGCAGTAGTTCACCGAAGGTGTTATTCATGAGGAAGGCGTCTTGAGGGTTTATATCATGCTTGTTAACGCCCGGCACATTCCGGAAATTATGATTTACCCACATGTGATAGGCATACGTGTGACTTAGGTCGGCGAAACTCTTGAAGATGTGTCCAGAAGTGTCGTGCCAAATATTCGGATCCACGTGCAGCAGCTGCCCGTGCTTCGCACGCAGTTTATTCGGCACGACTGCCGAGTTGTACAGCCAATTTTCGCGGTAGTCACGGTAGCCATCGTACCACATGTTCAGAAAAGTGGCGTTTTTCGCACCGATGATCACGCCTGCGTTGGTCATGTTTCTCGTACCAGCCGCCTTGCCTGACTCAACACCAAGTACACAGTCGTGCACACGAAGCGGGTCGAACGACTTGAGAACGACGACATCAAAGTCAAGATAGATGCCGCCGTGTGATCGTATGATATCAATACGCGCTACGTCAGAGCGATGTGCTATATTATCGACGGGCTGGCCAAACACCTCTTTAACATCGGGGTAGTATTCGTGCTCTATCGGCACTATGCGAAACAGCTCATCCCACAAGCGGCCACTCGGGCGCTGGTTACTGTGTAAGATAATGCGGTCTGGTCGCAGGTTCCTGCAGGCACTGATCGGACCAAGCATACGGTACAGAGTCATGGAATGAATTGTGGCGCCCTTAGCTTTTGGGTCGGTTAACCAGACGTAGTGCAGCACGTTGGGAACCTTTAGTTTCCCATCGATGCCCGTGTTTTGCCGACCTGTCCGCGAGGGGGGGAACTTTGTCTTGTATTGTCGGCTCGCAGATGGGGAAGCGATAACCACCTCATCTGGAAAACACGTATTTTTAACTCAACGTTTCGTAGCATCACAATGACTGGAACCTGAATACATTGTAAGAACGTTGTGTTACACATTATAGTAACGTTGTCTGCATATACGTAACGTTTACTGTTGACGTATATATATATATTATATATATGCTATCAGGAGTCTATCAATATTGATAGACTCCTGATACTATATGTATATAAATGATGTGCACACGCCTATAGCGTGCTGAAATGTGTGGCGTGATTGGTATAACTTGACATGGTGTATACGTGTAAAACTACCTAATGTTAAATCCGTACCTTATAAGGTACACATAATAACATAAAGTGTTTATGAACACTTTAGGTTATTATGTGTCGCATATTTGTTCAATTAAAA